TCTTTTGCGTCTACAATCTCTGTATTTTTTCATGCGTAACAAGTAACAGATATTTTTACGGAAATATGTCATTTGATTATGTGTCTAATCTTTGCATTTCGCACGAATTTTTTTTGCAGACCGGCCTGGTGCACCACGGCTGAAATTAGTGTCGTCGACTTCATCTTCTATAAACCTTAGCTGGGATGTATCAAGCGACCAGCCTGTCGATGGTGAGAACATCAACAGACCATTGTGTTCACTGACATTTTACATCGTTCGATTTTCGGTTCTTATTACATGCGTACTGTGGAAAATACTAAGGTGAATACCATGGCATCACTATCACTGATTTGTGTGGCAGCAAGAGAAAAAAAATATTACTAAAAGCTGCGATAAGTTGCAGTCGCCTATCTGTGTTTGTGTAGGCGAGAAAAAGTTCAGGTGCCATACGGCGCTTTTCCGGCAAATTCATTTTCCATGGTAGTGCAGAAGTCGGAAGAGACATAGCCTCATCGGCAAACGTCGTTGTTGAGGAGGAAGGCGCTTCTGTGTTACAGGTGAATTTAGCCAACAGTTGTTGAGTTGCCTTGATATAAGCTGCGCGCCTGACATTCCCGCTTTGTCTTTCGCTATAGATTATCGAAATAATCTTCAATACCGGAAAGTTTCAATTCAGCGAGTTGAAAGAATATTCACGTTTCTGTGTAAAGAATCACAATGGTACAGATCTGTGTCTCTTTCTAAAAATATAGGTTGAGTGCAAAAATCTACACACAGAAGACAAGTAGACAGAAATGGGCACACGAGACAAGTGAGCAGGAACGGGCGCTCATTCCGGACTCCTTCTCTCCTGTTCTCTTCTTTCTTGCACTTTACTTTTATTTTTCGACATAGTGCCAACTTGCCCGGCAACGTAATCTGTCTTTTTACTGTGCCTACTGTCGTGAAGTGCTTTTTATTTGTGTTCAGTCACCCTAAGCTAAAAAACATGCAGAATAAAGCTCAATGGCTGAGTTTGTGGCTTTATATAACCATTTGTGCAGGCTATCTCCTTTTCAACAAGGCTGAGCCTGGTCAAGAACGGCGATCGCCCGATTCTGAGAAAGCGGCGACCTCTTCGGACTGGTCTTCGGTGCAGGCAGATGCCGAACGATCAACTCACGCTTTCCACGGCTTGGGCTGCGGTCGCAGCTACGCATTTTATGTAGTGGCTTTTAATGGCGCTGGCCGAGGAGCCCGAAGCAACGTCGTCTTGGCCAAGACAGATGGTTCAGGTATTATGGCTGCCATAGCACTAAGTATCTTGTCCAAATAAACTTTACCATGCGAAGTAAATGAAGGACACGACGTTAAACTTTTGATAAGATGATGTACAGGAAAACCGAATGACGCGCTTATACGCACAGGTGCATGAAACTTCCGTCAAAGCAAGTTTGCCACTGAGGACACCTGCTGCCAGTGTAACTGTTTCTCAAAGTTGGGTTTTCTTTCATATCTACGAACACTGAAACTCAAACTAAAGTATAATACTTTTCAGTGCTAGAAGCCTATTTTGTGATTAAACAATAATGTAGCCACCATTATTTGTGCCTTCATATTGTACCATTATCACCAGCTTTGTGGCAGGCATACTTTCTTTCATTATCAATCACTGTACCTTACACACGTACACGATGTACACTTCCATACACTTCGAGTACAGCCGGAACTATTTGGAAGTGAGCTTTTGCTATTAAACAACTGTATTTTTTTCTTCAGGCTGTTATCCTTAAGACGCCACAGCGGATTTTCTATCAGTTTACTTTGATGCTCACAAACATTAAAATTTGCTCACCGCGCACTACTGACGCCACCTCAACATTGACTTGTTCACAGTTCCTGTGGCACCCGACATGCGGGAATTTGTCACCGCCAACGTAACCTGGGTGACCCTTCGGTTGGGCACGTGGAGAAGCGGAGGCTGTCCAATATCATCCTTCACTATTCTCTACAAGAGGCAATCCTCACCCGATGACTGGACACCGGCCGCAACGAGGCCTGCATACGAGCTCAGTTTGGCGCACTACACCTACGTGACGATTGATGATTTAACGCCGGCGACTTGGTACCAGATGCTCGTCACGGCGGAAAATGAAGCTGGCGCCACGGAGGCCGAATATGTCTTCGCCACACTTACTGTCTCAGGGGGTATGGCCGTTTCTGTATTGCACTTAGCAACCTAAGATGTGTTCCAACACTCACTGAAGACGACTAAACAGAAATCTTATCTGAACAGTCCCCATCTTGAGTCCCATTCTTAATCTCACGTGACCGGAAAAATAGTCAGCTTCGCAAGGAAATAATGACAGACAGTTTAGATCCAGGCTACCTTGTTGTCTCAACCATGCGGAGGATCAGTGAAATGCTTGACTGGCTCTGATCTTACCGGTATCGTCATCTGCTTACAAGGGAAAAAAAAAGCTATTTTGCCCGATTATTATAAGGCACATTTCGTTTTTTTTTTCCTTTCGAAAGAAAGCAAACGAATATTACTTCACCTAGCTTTCATTAGCTTTCTCTTGTCGACGTGAGGTGGCCTCAAGTCAAGCACACGTTATCTGGGCGCGTTCTATATATTACTCGGACGACACGGACTCGATGCCGTTTTCATAAGCTGTCAGTGTAAGATGTTTACTATGTTGTCCAAAATTAGAACCCAGCCTTCTATGTTCCAATAATACTTTTTCTCGAGACACTGCCACACTGAGAAGGCATGGCTGCCACACCTGGCTGCTTGGGTCTTTTGCGGGCCACGAAGTTGCATTGCCTCTTCTCTAATTGGCTCTGCAGCCATGTCTTCAAGGTGGTCTTGCACTACCTAGTGCGCAGCAGGACTAAGCAGCGGATCGTAGGGGCCACTTTCACCTCACCACGTCCGAGACCATGGCAGCTTCTCTCCCTCTCCTGGACCTTCCTGTCTACTTTTCCAGTCTTCTCTAGCGCAGTTTCCTTCACCACAAACGCTGAGCCACAATCGGGTTGCAACGTAGCCCAATTCCTTCCCCTCATGTCTATCCACCGGCGCTCCTTTCCCCTTCCTTTCGTCACAACCACAGATGTGCCGGCGTATGATCATGATAGCGCGCCTGAAAACATGAGTTTTGGATTCGTAAACCACTCGTGAAGACAATTGCATTAAAAAAGTCATTTTTTTGCAATTGCGCCAAGGTATTAAGTTATAAAAATATTCGAAAATAACGAACAGTGTCGTCAAATAAAGTTGTCCACCTATAAAACACCATCAATATAAAACACTATAAAACACTATCACTCGGTCTTTTTTCTTAGAGTGCGCTGAAAAGTGCAAATGCTTGCTGAAAATATGCTGATAACATCTAAATGGCTTTAACGGACCTGTAGTAAAACGCGAACATATGGTGGCTATCAAGTGGCCCTATACGAATATCAGGAATGGTAGGAGGGCTTTTCTTGAACGTGGATATAACCTCAAGAATTAAAGTGACAGATGTTTCGTCTGAGCTTCGTTAACAAAATACAGTAGCCGAAAAGCAGTCGCAGATCGCAACACATATTCAGTAGGGAGCCCGTTTGCCTATATATTTGCTTTAGCATCACTGGCGGCCGCCCAGCCATACACAATCATTCGATTGATTGATTTATATGTGGGGCTTTACGTCCCAAAACCACACGATCATGATAGACGCCGCAGTGGAGGGCTGCGGAAATTTCGACCACCTGGGGTTTTTAACGTGCACCCAAATCTGAGCACACAGGCTTACAACGTTTCCGCCTCCATCGGAAATGCAGCCGCCGCAGCCGGGATTCGATCCCGCGACCAGCGGGTCAGCAGCCGAGTACCTTAGCCACTACACCACCGCGGCGGGGATATACAGTCATTCGAGCGTGTGGTTGTCTTTATAGATAAGCACTGAACTCTTACACAGCGTTTGTGTTCATTTATGCAGGCACGGTGCCTCCGCCGCACTGGATACAAGTGATCGAGTCCCAACGACGCAGAATCCACGTTATCGTGCCCGTAGTGTGTTTTTTAGTTGTCACGCTGCTCGTAACTGTGGTTGTGGGCTGCACGGTATCCCGAAGGAGAGTTGCAGCGCTTCAGCGACGTCGCCTGTGTAAGTTTCTACACACACACAACAGAGTTTCGCCTGGTATTATTAACAGAGATAAAAATTTTTACCAATGCCAGTTATACGTCGAATTAAGCTGGCAAAAATAATTATAACAGATCGCGCGCGTGCGTGTGTGCGTGCGTGTACGTGTGCGTGTGCGTGTGTGTGTGTGTGTGTGTGTGTGTGTGTGTGTGTGTGTGTGTGTGTGTGTGTGTGTGTGTGTGTGTGTGTGTGTGTGTGTGTGTGTGTGTGTGTAAATGCGCTCACGCTCATAGACGCATGTATAGACACACAAGAGAACCACAGCATCTTTAGGTCTTCAGGGGCTCTATATATTTCATAGAGTTGAGGATACCTATTTATCTATGGTAGGTTTCTTTATGAGGACCGGCTAATCATTGGCACTGCCTCGTAAAATCATTAACAATAAGCAACACTGTGCGCTGTCAATAAAAAAAATTTTGCCTAGAGTTACGCTGGCGAATCGTAGACTTCTTCTAACGGGGCTCCGCAACACTTTGCAGCATGGTCGAAAAACGCTGCTGGTTCTAAAACGTTTTTGCGTCACTTGGTTCGTCAGGGAATGAGCTAATGAAGTTATTAAAATATTGTCTTGAAGTGCGTTGCAAGGCCCATTTAACGGCTTTTCTTAAAGTAGGTTAGAGTTTATTGTAAAAAAAAAACAAGATGCTAAATCCTGATACCGAGCTTGCAATCAACTGTCCACACATGTTGAACAAAGCCAGTGGGCCCTTTCATATAGTAAGCTTTATGACATCTCCTGTGGTGGTGTGAAAGATTAACAAATCACGTCATTTTTTGAATTGATGCATGGCCCAGGGCCTAACGGTCGAACTTACAGCGCCTTTCGCAAACTTTCAGCGTGGCGGCCGGGAGACGCTGGCCAGGCTTCAAGAACCATTATGAAATCAATAGACACCGTACCCATGACAGTGTGGGAAAAAGCCGGACTAGAAGCGCCAGCCAGGATACCTCCTGCAGAGAAGGTCTACTGGCCGTCGCCACTGCGTTCTCGAGCGGCTTCGGGCAACGTTCCAGCGGATGGCGATGGAGGACGTTGCAAAACGTGGGCGCACAGCCTGGCAACCATCCACGAAGATTACAAAGTGGAGGCGGCAGCGACAAGCGGGAGGAAGCCCGACCACATGTACGCCGTGCCTTTCGCGCTGACTAACACACTGCAAAAGGTACGCCGACTTTTTGAGATCCGCCACGGGTATCTGGTGGTTCTCGTGCCTGACTGCTGACCCAAAGGTAGAATCTTTTCCGCGACGACCACGTTTCCATAAGCGAGGCATGGTGGAAGTGGGGGGAGGGCAGAGGGGGCACCCCCTAGTCACCTGTGAGGGGGGCGCGAAGTCTGCCCCATTGAATGGCCTAATGGGAAAAGGGGCACTGCGATAATTTTGCGCCCCACTCCACCCTACTCGCGCCTAAGCCTACTTAGATGGAAACAGAATGTTACAGACCCATGTTCTTATAAATTGAGGTGATAACGAACTTCAGGTGGTTGAAAATCCCGGAGCTGTCCTCTATAACGTCTTTTACAGTCATCTGGAAATAGGGGGACCCTTAAGCATCACCCTTAGGAGTTGAACGCGACAGCGATGTTATGGCCCGAGTACGTACTTCAAAAACGTGGTGTATAAACTCTTTTCGAATTTGCTATGCACACACTACGTGGCCTTCAAGTTGCAATAGCATGTGTGCCCTTAGTAGTGGGTGACTGGCTTGACTGGCTTGACTATGAAGTTGTTATGATAACCCCATATTCAGACGCCCTACGGCAATGTATGGTTGTACCACGCATGTGTTCGTAAAAGATGAAAGTTCATTTCAGTACATTTCAAAGCGGAGGAGGTTGTTTTCACAGTATTCACTAGCAGAGGCGTGGCTGTGAGGTAGAACACCCGCTGTCACACAAGTCCCGTTAATTCGGGAAGGCGATCGCCGGGCTAATTCCAAGAGCCGAAGAATCGGCCCCCCGAACCGCACCACGAAAGCGTGGACAATTTAGAAGTGGTCCTTTTTGGCGCGCCAGCGGACGCCGGCTGTGGCCCAAAGAACAAGTCAGAGCCGAGAGTTGATAAACAAAACAAATATTATATTCTCAAAAATGGCAGATCGAAAACAATACACAAGAATGCACACTCCACAATAGTTACATACAATACGTCACCAAACAAACAACGTACTACACAGTACAATCAACTACACTTGAAACAACGGACACAGACAACAATACGCACTACAATGCAGTCGCATGCATTGAACAACCAAGACACTTAAAGACTAAAGAGATATAAACCTATTCGGTCCAAAGTCCTTGGAACAAAAGTATGAATGATACTCTTCCGAGAATCACTCACTCAAAGTCCAGCGTTGTTGTCGTTCCGCAGCCCTCGAAGTTTCTCTTCCAGGAAACCTCCCGTCTTCAATAGGCCACTCTCCAAGCTTCAAACTTCTTCGCCCGAACACGTCGGCTTCACACACGCAGCTGTTGCCACGCGTCCTCGCTCGATAGCGGTAGACACACGCTCTTGCCTGTAGCTCGAGCTTTCACCCCTCAGGTGGAAATCCTCTTCATCTCCTGCTTCGTCCCTACGGACGAAACCTTCGCCGACTACACGGCGGGATCCCTTCGCACTCTGGCGCAACTTCCGTCTTCTCCTGCTTTCTCATCTCGGCTGCTCGGTTAAATACCTTGCGCGCGGCATTCCAGACGCTTCTCGTCATTTCGTCGGCGCGATACGCAGCGAAAGCTGGGAAGAGGGCGAGACGGTTGGAATGCCCTCTCCGGCCGATGAGTCAACTCGGTATGACCACGCCCCTTTCGTTCTGGAAAAATCGAGTGCTTGCTCGGCCGCCGTTGTGGGGTGAGGAGGTTCGTCGTGAAGCCACGCTTCTGCGGCGAGAGCGCGCGCCCGGGGAGCCTTGGACGTTTGCTTTCTTTTTTTTTCTTTTGACCTCGCGGCGTTTCTCCCGCCCGTTATCGCAAGAATTTGGCGGCGCGCCCGTTTTTAGCGCTCGTTCTGTGACACTGCCCCCCACTTTAAGAATATTATCTCATAATATTCAAAACCACACAAACGAGCGCGAACAGTCACCACACACTCTCACAGACTGTAACATAGTCCGTCGCTCATGACTCGTCACATTCACAATAGATCACTTAATACAATTGTACATTGTAATTCAATTACACAACACGTGAAAACACAACCACAAGCACATGAGTACAACACTCCACCACACATTCCCAATAATACAAATGTACAAAGATCTCTCACTACAACAATGGCACAATACTATACATCACGTCACAGCACAACACTTCGACACTTGTGACACAGGATACCACCATTAACACAACATATGGCACTCAGTACTGCCCAACACATTCTGATTCGACCTCAGCACTTATCCTGAGTACTTCGAGCAGCGCTTGCGCCCCTTTTTGCGGTGCTCGCTCGATCTCTTCTTGTGTTTCCACGTTCTTTTTCGGCGAGCCCTTTCCAACGACGATATCGGAGGCGTCGTCTCAGCCATCGCTGTCTCTTCCGACACCGTTAACGCGTCATTACATTCGACGGGTCCTGTCTGTTTATTTACCCGCTTGATCATACCTCTACATTTTGCCCGTCTGGCCAACTCCGTCTCCTTTACACTGTCGGTCGGTTGAGGTCGTGCCGACGTAAGTCCGGTTGCTCGGCCCGTGAACTTATTCGACACGATCGTCTTCTCCTTCGCTGTCTCTTGCGCCGCAGCTTCACCTTGGGCTCTAGTGAGATCCGTCACGGGATGCTCCTCCACTGTATCTCGCGGCCGCTGTGTTGGCGAGGGCTCTATCTTCGGGTCTTCTCCCAAACATTCTGGATCACTTGGCCCTCGCGCCCCGTCGATGTTTCCGATGACAAGGTCGTAAAGGGGGGTCGTCATACATAGAGCGGTAACCTTCCCGATGAAGTACGGGGTTTCCACCTCAATCTCTGCTTCGGGAAGCATCCGAACTGTACGGTCAATTAAGCAAACCGGTTTTGTTTTGCCTGTTAGCTCATTTTCCCGTACCAAATTTCTCCGCACGATAACAGTGGAGCTACCGGTATCTCTTAACACCGTAATCTTTTTGTCCGCAACTTTTCCAGGCAGCGTTGGCATTCCTTTCGTAACACCGGTTGGCTGTTTTGACATTACAGCACCCACAATAGGAATTTTCTCCCCATTCTTCAACTCTACGAATCCATCAGTGACGGCATTATTATCAGATTTCGGTGCTGCTTGCACACAGGATACCTGGTGAGTTTGACTCACTCCGTTCCGACATGCATCTGCTTTGTGCCCAGTCTGACCACACTTGAAACATTTTACAACCGTAGGGCTCGTAAAGATCGTTCGACAGTTTTTCGCGCGATGACCCACTCGGTTGCACAGAAAACACCGCGGAATGCTCTCTGGTGCACGCTTCTTTTCTTCGGGAGCCAATTTCTTCGTATCATCGGGACAATCCTTCTTGACTTTGGCCAAATTGGTTCCACCTTGCGCTTCCAAGAATTGATCAGCCAACTCAAGCATTTCTTCAAGTGACTCAGCCTTCCTCTCTTTCAAATACAGCGACAGGCTTGGGTGGCAACTAGTAAGAAATTGTTCTCTAATTAGGAGCTCTCTAAGCTCATCGTACTCCTGTGCTGTCCCTGAAAGTTCAATCCATCTGTCGAAATAATGGCAAAGTCGGGCGGCATACTGCGTAGCCGTCTCCCCATCAGCTGGCTTTCCTGTCCGAAATCTGTCCCGGAATCCTTCTACAGTAAATCTAAACCGCTTCAGCAAAGCCGCTTTCACCTTTTCATAGTTGGCTGCATCGGTCGGCGTCAGCCTACCGTACACACTGAGCGCTTCACCACTCAAGCAAGTACTCAAAGCAGTTGCCCATTGATGTTCCGGCCAATTCTGGCTCTTTGCAATCGTCTCAAATCTGTGAAGGTACGCATCAAGGTCGTCCTTCCTCTCATCAAATGCTACGAGCAGCTTGCTTGGGTTCAAGCGGAAGCCATGATCTTCCCGTTCGCTGCTTTCAACTCTAGGTTGGACGGGAGTTTCACTTCGCTGTTGCAAACGGAGCCGCTCGAGTTCCATCTCGTGCTGCCGCTGCCGTTCCCTTTCAGCCATCTCCGCTTCTCTTTCTTCCTTCAGCTGTCGCTCCCTCGCTTCTCTTTCTTCTCTCGCCCGTTCGGCTGCCAACTTCTCTCTCTCCAACTCCAACTTCAATTGTTGCTCTCTTTCTTCCTTCGCCCTTTCAGCGGCCAGCTTTTCTCTCTCCAACTCAGCTGCTTTTTCTTCCTTGGCTCTCTCAGCTGCCAACCTCTCTCGTTCCAACTCAGCCTCTTTTTCCGCTTTGGCTCTTTCGACCGCCAGCCTCTCTTTTTCCAGCTCAGCTGCCTTTTCTTCTTTGGCCCTCTCTTTTTCTTCTTTTTCCTTCTGGGTGACCCACTTCCGTAGTTCGGCGCCAGAAAGACCCATCTTCTCACCAAGAGCGACTAACTTTTCGAGATCCATTTTGTCTCGCAACTCGCAAATAAAACCTTGCCGCGTGCAAAAAGTATCTGCCTAAATCAGTCTATCGGAACACTCCCCTGCACTCGTTAACGAGAACACTGAGCAACACACAAAATCGTTCCGATAGCAGTATCACCAACTCGAGGCTCTTTCTCACTACTTTGGACACACTGTGCACCATAAGGTCCTGTTTCGCGGACGCCAGATTAATTGTCACACAAGTCCCGTTAATTCGGGAAGGCGATCGCCGGGCTAATTCCAAGAGCCGAAGTATCGGCCCCCCGAACCGCACCACGAAAGCGTGGACAATTTAGAAGTGGTCCTTTTTGGCGCGCCAGCGGACGCCGGCTGTGGCCCAAAGAACAAGTCAGAGCCGAGAGTTGATAAACAAAACAAATATTATATTCTCAAAAATGGCAGATCGAAAACAATACACAAGAATGCACACTCCACAATAGTTACATACAATACGTCACCAAACAAACAACGTACTACACAGTACAATCAACCACACTTGAAACAACGGACACAGACAACAATACGCACTACAATGCAGTCGCATGCATTGAACAACCAAGACACTTAAAGACTAAAGAGATATAAACCTATTCAGTCCAAAGTCCTTGGAACAAAAGTATGAATGATACTCTTCCGAGAATCACTCACTCAAAGTCCAGCGTTGTTGTCGTTCCGCAGCCCTCGAAGTTTCTCTTCCAGGAAACCTCGCCGAAGTTTCTCTTCCAGGAAACCTCCCGTCTTCAATAGGCCACTCTCCAAGCTTCAAACTTCTTCGCCCGAACACGTCGGCTTCACACACGCAGCTGTTGCCACGCGTCCTCGCTCGATAGCGGTAGACACACGCTCTTGCCTGTAGCTCGAGCTTTCACCCCTCAGGTGGAAATCCTCTTCATCTCCTGCTTCGTCCCTACGGACGAAACCTTCGCCGACTACACGGCGGGATCCCTTCGCACTCTGGCGCAACTTCCGTCTTCTCCTGCTTTCTCATCTCGGCTGCTCGGTTAAATACCTTGCGCGCGGCATTCCAGACGCTTCTCGTCATTTCGTCGGCGCGATACGCAGCGAAAGCTGGGAAGAGGGCGAGACGGTTGGAATGCCCTCTCCGGCCGATGAGTCAACTCGGTATGACCACGCCCCTTTCGTTCTGGAAAAATCGAGTGCTTGCTCGGCCGCCGTTGTGGGGTGAGGAGGTTCGTCGTGAAGCCACGCTTCTGCGGCGAGAGCGCGCGCCCGGGGAGCCTTGGACGTTTGCTTTCTTTTTTTTTCTTTTGACCTCGCGGCGTTTCTCCCGCCCGTTATCGCAAGAATTTGGCGGCGCGCCCGTTTTTAGCGCTCGTTCTGTGACACCCGCTTGCCCCACAAATGACTTGACATCATTTCAACTACACACGAAAGTAAAAGAAAGTAAAACTATGTAGCCAAGCCAACTCGAATTCAAGCCTTTCAATGAACGAATTTTCCCGACAGGAGCCTGGCATGTATTCATGAAATTCTTGTAGCGGCATTTTGAAAAAAAAAACTTCTGATAGCATCACTCAAGTACACGTGATAGACTAAATACTTCTGAAAATTGTTACAAAGAATTTCAAAGCAGCTAACGTTTTCACAAGGGAACTCTTCTTCGTCGAGGCATCGCTGTTGCCCTAACGAAGACAAGTAGAATTGCCGAAACACTGTTTCCAGCGACGTTTTTCTCGAAAAACCTCTGATCGCTTCAAGCCTTTTTGTTTCTCAGAACTTCCGTCTCGTTTGGTACTCAAGTTCTGTAAGAATACCATGCGCGCCGTCAAAACAAACGTGATTGAACTAAATGCGACGTCTCCTATCTCGCGATTGTTGATCGTTTTCGCATTGCTTCGGATATTCTGGGTTCCACGTTTGTTGGTTATGTTCGTGTGTCAGTTGTAAGTTCATAACACTTTCACACTACTTGTATGTCGGTTTTTTTAATTCCCCCTCAAAAAATATTCGTAATTTATTTTATTGGCATCTTTCTCGATAATTTGGTCACGCAAAGATTATGAATTTTCGCTCACAACCAACGCACGCCGTCCGTAATTTCTGCGAAACGAGCGCTTTAACGCTATCGCGTTAAAATTTCGGAGCTGCGGTTCGCGCAGCTTGAATGGTTTTGGGAAGTTGTAACTGAAGTGGCGTGGGAAGCTTCCTCTGGGTAGCCGCACGGTTACGTTGAAAGTGAGTGCTTTTAGTGAATGCGTGATCTACACTTTCATGAAACCTTATTTTTAAAACGACAGGAGGCACTACACGGTTATGAATGCATGTAAGCTACATATATACATGGTGGATAACGAGTACGAAAACCTACTACATAGAGTGAGTTGTATGATAATTATGTTGTATCAAGCTGGCTGCGCATATACCTCAATTTGTCGCAGGCTAGAGAAATCTAATCTCGTGCTATGAACTGGAGTTGAGGTTGCCCCGACGCTTTGGTGACCCTATTACAGTATTCATGTGCATCTTCAGGCATGCGCGTTATTCTTAGTTTTGATGTTTAGATTTTTATGTTACCTGAACCTCTGTAATTTCACTGCCAAGTGGACGTTGCAGCTTTCCTTTTCTGTCTTCATTGTTAGTTACTCATTCTTCTAAAAATTCTAGGGTAACAGTCTGGCTATGCCTTGTTACTTTACTATAAGTCTAGATTATTAAAATGCGCCTTAGTGCAACGAAATTACTTCGTGTGACAAACTTCTGGGCATCTGAGTGATAATGTAACTGTGGGCATGCTTCACACGAATATCTAAAGTTTCATGGTGTTGCGATTCATTTCTAGCTCTGCCTTCATATTTTCGTATGTTCTCCATCGTAAATATCGATGAATTGATAAGTATCATTTGGCAGAAGTGGTTCTCGCGTCAATGTATTAAAAAAAAACTAGAAAAATATCATCGCCAGGCCTTTCCGCACCAATCTTTTTCAATTTTGGAAGAAGCTGTGCTAACCCTTCCGTGGCGGTAGACCACTGTAAATTAGTTATTATAATGACAGTAAGGAGCGGTGTCGTCCTTGAGGAGTGCTCATTTATTTCGTACCGTACTGTAACTTTATGACTTGTTTTACAGCTTGAAGACCGCGATGACCTCCTCGCCTCTGCTGAAAGACTAGCAAGTTGCATGTCACCGAGGCAAGGTAATTGAGAAATCAGTTGACGCTAACAATTCTTATTGTAAGCTTCTATAGGATTAAGGCGCTACTAAGACCTACCATTTAGGGCTTTTCTACGTAATCAAAGAAACCACCATTATTATGCCTCCACACTTCAGATACCTAGGCATTCTAGTCCAAGCGTTATATTTACGCAAGGGGTATTTTTGCTTTGTCCACAACATATTCACGGTGAAAAGGAACGAATGGCTCTTCAGTCTCAGGAAAAGTCTCATGCCTCTACCCTTCTTCCCCCCCCCCCCCCCAAAAAAAAAACAAAAAAGGTTGTCACAATTAACGCAGAGTTTTTCGTTAAGGAAAGATATCAAAATAATGTCATCGTGAATAAAGAATTCTGCACTACTTTGTGAAACATCATGGTGTCGATGTCTCTCAATACTACCTGGAATCAGATGAGCGCCGTTATTTGAGAAATGAACGGGTCAAATATGAGCATTTCTTCTAAAATTGGGGCTTGTTTGTCAAACCTTTTTCTAAAAAGTGAGAAATTTCCTTCAACTGGTATGCAATTGCACGTACTAAACTTCATACCTTGAATTCGGCAGGTTTATCACGTGCCACAGCAAGCCTTGAAGCACGCAAGGAGAGCACCGAAACCGAGAGCAGCTAGCCTTGCATCCCGGGAGGATCACTGTAAGTGAGAAAGCGACAACATGCAGGCAGAGGTCACTAAGCAACCGCCTGTATCACAAAGGCATCAGTTGCAGGAGGCAGGTGTGCGCTCCGCATGCTGCACATTCTCACCCACCAACCATTCTAGCTCACCAATATGATCAGTATTAAAGATGAAAACCAGGCTTGTACGCTCGAGTCGCATACCTCAGCAGCCTCCGTTACAGGCTCCGCTTACTATAGGCATGCGAGATACTGCTAGAATGGACATCGTGTAAGTAAACTTCGAGCTTTTCATCAGATAAAGTGCGCAGCTGGTGGCGCAAAGGGTGAACCATCAGGGAAATGTGTGTTGAAGCTAGCCAACTTTTGCTAATGCCCCACTTTTACTAAAGATGCTAACTCTTTGCTTTTAGTAATAAGTACAACCAGACTTGGCTACGCATGTCACGTGACTACCTGTTACATCAAGCGAGGACACTTTGCAGATTCTTAGTTTTAGTGGCATAACAAACTCGCACATCATAGTTTTTGTATTCCGCTGGAAACACCCGTGTTGGGTGCGCGAAGCACAGGTTCAAGAGAGCGAAGCAAGCGCGTACCGGTTCATGATGATAATGATTCGCTCCGCCGCGGTGGTCCAGTGACTCAGGTACTGGGCTGCTGACCCACAGGTCGCAGGATCGAATCCTGGCTGAAATGTTGTAGGCCCGTGTGCTCAGATTTGGGTGCACGTTAGAGAAACCCAGGTGGTCGAAATTTCTGGAGCCCTCCACTACGGCGTCTCTGACAATCATATGTTGCTTTTGGGACGTTCAACCCCACATATCAATAAATTAGCGATGACAATTATTCCTGTTCCCACTACCCAGTGCAGCAATAGAGTTCATGAGCATCACTTTGAAAATGGCGAACACAATGGTATAAGCCTACCCCGATACTCATTTAAACTTCATGGGCAACGTAAAACCTATCCCCACCTCCAGACGCAAATACCTTGAGAATGATGATTAACCTATATGCCTCCGCCTACAATATTTTGCGTTGAATCGCGATCCAGGGATACGCAAAACGAGTTTGTATTTCTCTCTCTTATATTTTCAGATATCTGTGAGCCGCCTCCTTTTTTCACTGCGGCATGAACGAAGAGAAAAAAAAAGAACTGTTTAATCACAAAACGTGGGCTTTAACGACGCTTACCAAGATTGAGTGCCTTACAGAGAATCGCCACTGACGGAAGTGAAGCAGAGATAGGTAAGCGATCATATATGTTGTATAAATAGCTGAAATTTGCACAGAAAAGGCGCCCTGCTCAGATCGGATGTAATAGCGCATTATGTTTGTGTGGCATTGATGTTGAAGTTAGCAGCAACGAATAAATGTATGCGTAGAAAAAATAAAACGAGGAGTCTTCAATTGGCGAAATCACTTCGCCACCCGGCTTGTAATTGATGTAGAAATGGTCCAGTAGGACAATTTCACTGCATTTTGAAGGAAAAAGAAGTAAACTTTAAAGGGCACTACGTGTAAGTTCGCAAATACAGATGTACGCTCGAGAATGTACTTTAAAAAAGAAAGACGGCTATATGAAATAAACAGGGGTTTACTATGATGGAGCACGTAAGCAAATGGTAGGTGTGTATACTAAATTTTAGGCTGCCTCTTATAATGCAAAGCCGAACTGTAAACTGTAACAGAATCTTGCTTCCGTTCTTTTTTTTTGAGGACGCCCTTTGTTACATTATATTTATCCTTGCGAGCCTCGCCTTACCTAAGGTTTTCATATAACAAATCCTTCCCATGAATGATGATTGGTTATATGGCTGAACATAGCGGAATACAGTAACAAACAAACAAGTGAGCTCCCTCGCTCCTAGAGTAAAGCAAGTCCGAAGGGTCACATATGCATTCACTCGAAACGACGTGGCTGTGAAAGACATCCTTCTTTTTTCCTCTCAGTCGATGTATTCATTTTGCCCCGCCACCCTTCGAAAGTCTTCTGCAGGTAACGTGGTTTGCACGGCCTCTAAGGTAGCAGGCACCTTATCTGGTTTTGCATTGTGATGTGATTGGGCCCCCTTTGACCCAGTTTCGGTGTCTTGTGATGACGTCATTAATGTAATCTTATGTCACGTGACCTCACAATGACGTCACAGTGATGTCAATATGACGACACGAAAATTTCGTGAAATGTGACATCGTCAAGCCGTCGCATGATGGCAACTCGCGAAAATGACCCCCGTATTCAAAAACGCTCCACGACTCGACTTTCACCCTTCACTTGACAAAGTTGAGCACTGCGCCGCTGCTCGGCTGAAAATCGCGGTGCGCTATTTAAGAATAGCGGCAAATTATCACAGATATGCAGTGACTTGCCATGTTTAGAGATGGCGCTCCTATCGGCTTTCTCAAGTGAAGGTGGTGCGTTGAGTGAAGGGGCGTTCTTGAATACGGGGGTGAGTGTTTTAATCAGTCGTCCCCGTCGTCGCTCTACGTCGACGCCGAAGACGAGCGACATCGAAGAAAACGGGCAAATTTCGCATTTTACAAGGCATTTAAGGCTTTCGCCCTAATAACAGTGAAAGCAAAGGCGTGGTAATGGTAGTATCTCAGTACTTATTTGCTTATTTTTCTTTCATGCAGGTGTCAAGTGGTAAGAACTGGTGTGACTTCGATTCGAATGTGACATCGAAGGCCTGCCAAACACTCCTAGCGTGATGAACTGATACCTCAAGAAGCAATTCAACTTTGACTTCAGAAACCGAATTTTAGATTGATTCAACGACAGATAGTTGGCGAAGATTGTGAGAAGAACGCTCGTGTCTAACGCATCATGCGTGACCCGGTCACTGAAGCCAACGGTCTCCTTCGAAATTGTCGTGTTTCTAAGTGGAAGACATGGAGTGCCTCTCTATTTAAAACTCCACTGACGATGCCTCTTTTCCTCACCTATGTGCTTCCTACAACATTCTGTGCCCACTTCAACACGCTCAGCAAGACTGTGTTGCTTCTCCACGCATTTCCGAAAGCTTTCAAGGCATGAAGCGAGAGTGAACCTCTTCGACTGGTTAGCAACAATGGTCAGAGAATTAGAGACTATGTATACCGACTAGTGCCTTCGGAAAAGGTGTCTTCGACAACGTGTGTCTTCGACAATGATCCGATGCTTCCTCGGATAGACTGAAGGTAGCGTATAATTTTAGGCGATACAGCTCCGGCAAAACTGCTGTGCCAGCCTTTCGTAGGCACCGTGCCATGTTGCCGCAGGACTATTTCGAGCACAGCTTGAGGACGACGGCAACCATTTCCCCATTGTGAGAGCGCGTCTATCGATGAACTTAAAGCAATGACTTGTTTTTGGTATGCGTAAGTTACGCGCGGCTGTATAGTTTAGGAGAAAAATTCGAGAAAATTCTTGTTTATGCAGCCACTAAGGAACCCACTCTCAAGCTCCACATCCTTCGAAAACCATCGGCTATGTGACAGCATTGACGGCTATTCGATTTTCCTCAGCAAGTGTGAAGATGATTAAGTCGAGTCAGGATCTGTGCTGAATTCAAACTGCGCTTCACCTGTGACGCGCCATTTAACCCTAACGCAATGCAAAGAAAACGTTTATTCGGGCAGACATCAATTCTCTCATTGGTTAGCTATACAATCATTTGTTGCTTCGATGTCTACGCTCGCTTTTCTACGGTGAGTACAGAAGTTTAAGGTTAAGAACATTATAAGGTATGCAACACCATTAAAGTCTGAAAAACTATAGAGCGTCTCAGACGTTAATGAGCCTATGAAATTGAAAATCTGATGTTGAAGGGTTGTGATCGCTTTTTCTCTGTGTCAATGACATGTAACTAGAACGTAAAAGTGTCATCTAAGGATGATCTACATGTGCGGAATAAAAAATAAAGTGTGGCCATAGTTCCTGTTGGCGTGGTGCTATCACGCTAGTGCATGCATACGATAATGTGTTTAATGTTTCTATGGTTTATTAAAAGACAGCCCTGCGTAATAACGGTGACCACTGGTGTAGAATCGTTGTATATAACGCTTCAGAGGAAGTTTAGTTTGAAGAAGAAAAATGAGCTTTGCAACACGCATTTGAGCGAATTTCGCTCGTTAAAGAGAAGCAATAAAAATGAAACCTCGTGTTTGGCTGTTTCCTCAATCGCCTATGAGCATAGGCATAGGCATGTAGAGTGTTTCTGATTGTATAGGACGAAAACTTGGAAACCTGGTTTTAACGCGACAGCGTTAAAAAGCCCGTTTCACAGAAATTGCTGTGTCGCCTTCGAAGCCGGGGTCACTGGTAGTGAGCGAAAATTCATCTTCTGGTTCGTGACCGACAAAATCCAAAAGTACGCAAATAAAACAAAAATAAAATACCTTTAGTTCGAGGGAGAATGGTAACCTGGCTGTCTGCGTGGCTAGCAGGTATTCTATTACAGAGCGACGCTATTTCTTGAAACTGCTTAGAAGAAAAAAAAAATGTTCATGAAGGATTTACCCTAAAGCGCGTAAGATTGTGTGACATAAGAGTAAAAATAACGCCAGGCGTCAATACATGTGAACTGCATCACAAGTGGCTGTTGTAACGACCCATCGATTGCAAAGCGCTCAGCCATATTTAATCAAAATCAGCTATAAAAGCATAAACAAAGTGAACAGCTGCGTAGGCTCGCATGTTGCTTTCGGTTGCGTTGTGGGCCCTCCGCTGATTCGTAAAAGAAATAATGATGGAGTAGAGGGCACTCGGCAACTTTACTTGCAGCACCCCTTATAAGATAGCTTGAAACGGTCGCTGTTGCAAGCCCAGTTGTTTGTTTCCTTACGGTCCGGTTAAGCCTTGCACCGAGAACTGATGAGAGGCTACATATTGAGAAGGGGTCACCCGCAGGCCCGATTATGTTATCTCGTTCTACTCTTGAAGACGGAGCTCAAGCGTCCTCCAAGTATATTAAGACAATGGCAGGTCCGAATAAGTAGCGGTATAAGTAGACTTTGTCCCCCCCCCTCCCCTCACACACACTATAGGTGATTAGGGGGAGGGGGAATGTCTGCCCTCGCCTCCCCTTGCACGCCTACGCATACTGTTTGCACATTGGTGCCTCCACCGACCAGAGTGGGAACCTAGCGCCTGATGGTGGGATCAGAGGGCAATTATGACGACTTTTTTTTTTCAATTGTGCATTTTGCTGAACCGAAAACTGCACTGGCATTGAAGCAGCAAAAAAATTACAATTTATTTTGCAAACACTCGTCTCGGCAATTCGAAACTTCCCTAAGCAAACAAATATAATGTTCTAGGCGCTAGTACGCGTGCTTCATCCGGTGAACTTCATTTTCAACTCATAGGTAAGTTCACTATTTCATTGTTGCAAATGTCCCGGTATAATTATTCCATATATGCCTAATATTGAAGCAGTGGCTTTCACAAACCGCACGGGGTTCGGAGATGAGCAGAAACTGAATGTGAGAGGGAAGAAAGCTTGTTGAGGACACAAGGATATGTTGTTCTGTCACATTTACAAGTTACAACTCTTCTGGAATAATATTCGTGGCAGTGTCAATTACGCCCAGCCACTTGAATGGACGCTGAAATGCCCGGTGGCCAAGCTCCGGGCTCATTAGAGCTTGAGTTGGTGCTGCCATCGCACGTTCTTGCGTCCTACTAACGTTTGCCTGTTGTATACTGCACTCAGAAGGAGGCGCGCTCAATGGGCGCAAAAGTGGATAGGTCTCATTAACTCCCGCGAAGTCAAGTGTTTTCAAATTTACATTTGTGTTTCTAGTTCCTTTTATGACCTAAATAGTTCACAGCCTGACGTGGGGTCACTTCACAGTAAATGCTGATAAATGTGACACATAGTAAGCAAGCATGGGCGCACAAAACGAGGCTGTACGCCGAATGTTTCATTTGTAGTGATTGAAATGATGATAAAGTTGTGTGCCCGTGCGAACACAGAGCTTGAAAGTTTCTAGTGAAAAACTGGATAAAGCAGGCACAATACGCTTGAAGCATGCTTGAAAGCTGCTTCTACTCCTGCATTCTGTTTTACTAACCCATCTCATGTCACGTTTTTGCAGTATTTCATCCTAATTTTCAAAGAAGAACGGCTGAAAAGGAAACAAAAAAGACGCTACTAGTAAAATCCAAGTGAACTCAATCAGTTGATCGTCCAGGTGAGGGGCGAGGCTATAGATTTATTCTGCAGAAAGGGAGGAAGCGGAAAGATGTAAATATTTTGAGAGGGGTTTGTCTGAAGTTTGGGGAAGCGCCATATAGGGTCCCATTTCACGGTGAGCCTCTACTGCACCTCCAATATTGAGACGGAAACCTTAGATGCCTCATCAAACTCGAAACTTGAACGTCGGCGGCGACCACCTCACGGCGTCGGGGACACGTGAAGCAAAAAATTCTCATCAAATGAGGCCTGACCATATGCCATAGTCAGGACGTCAAAAATTTGCGACGTCATCATGACGTCACAAACACTATCGTGGCGTTACGTGACGTGACGCCCCCACGCTGCTGTTTTGGAACACTCCTTTAGGCGGTGAACAAAACGGGAGTGCGCGTGACCTCCACAAAAGAAAATGAAGGTGGCACTTGGCCACGGGAAGCGACGACTCGAATTCCCCGCTCACTTATGGGAGAAAGAGGAGAAAAAAAAATGTGGCTTTCGCCTTTATGGGAGAAACCGACATGAGAGAAACCCATTGAGCCCTGGTGGCATTTTTCCGGACTACATACAAATAAAGTTCTTTCATCCATGCATTTCACCTTTGTGTCGTCTCAGGTGAATGCATAAGAACAACGTTTATCCGACCATTTCGGAATGGCCATCCGCAGTTATGTCCGGCTAAGCTCCCTCAAGTCCTAAAATATTGCTTCTGTTCCCAAAACATCAAAAACTATAGCGATAGCCAAAACACTTTGTGAAACAAGATTCGGTAACATCACAAGGCATGCTGCGTCTCAAAACCTTGTATCTGTTTTGAATGCCGATTATTCGTACTGCTTTTTTCGTAATGTTATATATGGTTTCATTGTTGTTACAGATAAATAAACAAATAGAAGATATATATATATATATATATATATATATATAGTCTAGTAGATTCTCCGTGAGCGGTCACAACGTGGTTTATTTCGACGTTTCGGCCTAGAGTCTGGTCTTCATTCCTGATGAAGGCCAGACTCTAGGCCGAAACGTCGAAATAAACCACGTTGTGACCGCTCACGGAGAATCTACTAGACTATATATATATATATATATATATATAGAAAGCGGTACTGAGGTCTGCGTAATAATGAAGCTTCAAGAAGCCAATGTTTGGAGTCGACTTTAATGCCGAAAAGTGTGCTCTTGTTAAATGTTCAATAGTTTCTCGTTTCCAATAATAAAGCTCAAACACCAGCTATTTTGGTGACTTCTTAACAGCTACACATACCCCAATGCAACAATTTATAGAAGCAAGAACACACTCGCTCTCTGGATTTCGTGCCGACCGGTTGTGCCCCCGCGATCTCCGACAACAGCGCAGCTCTGGCCGACTGGCTTGCCCTACGCCATCTCCTGCCGCCGACAACAGCTCTCGTTGAGTGGTGCCCCGTCATCGGACTCGTGCGACCGTGTCCATCTTTCCTATCTTCTCCTTGCTTCTGGGTGGCGCTGTCCCTGTGCCAAGCTCTCTTCCTTCCCTCTCTATATATAATTTTTATTCCTATTCATTTAATCCCTCCTTTCCACATCCCTTGTGAGCTACTGTTGAGGTGCCGCACTCTGATGCAGACAGTTACGGGGCTCACTTTTGTTTTCTCTTTAGGAATCACATAAGAAGCAAGAACATCATGGACTCTTACGTGGGTTAGTTGCTCTGCCATGATATTTACAACATCAGGAACCCTGGTTACTGCAGATACTTAAAGCTAATAATTCTTGAGCTTTAACGTCTCGAAGTCGCTATACGATTATGACAGACGTCGTAGTGGACGGCTCCAGAAATTTCAATAATCTGGTGTTCTTTAACGTGCACCCCCTAAATTTAAACACACGTGCTTCAAACATTTTCGACTCCATCGAATTGTGGCTGTCGTGACTGGGATTTTATCGCGCGACGTGTGGATCAATAATAATAATAATAATAATAATAATAATAATAATAATAATAATAATAATAATAATAATAATAATAATAATAATAATAATAATAATAATAATAATAATAATAATAATAATAATAATAATAATAATAATATAATAACTTACATATGATTATGAGAGACACCGTAGTAAAGAAGCCAAGAGCCCCAGCCACTAGACCACCATGGCGATAGATACCTAAAGTTCGTAAATATAAAACAGCGTTCCTGCAGTCAACACAATTCAAGCGATACCTACTGTCAAAACCTCAAACGAAGTATGCTTTCGAGAAAGCGAGTCGAACTAGAATGTATTTTATGAAAAAAAATAATAAATGTGCCCATGGACAAGCGAATTTCATGTATACGTTTTCTAGTTTTAGTGTAAACGACAAGAAACCGAAATAAATTTACATGCAAACAAGCAACAAAAATGAGCACCAGCACAGCTTGCGCTCCCTGTTGTACATCATTTGCAATATTCGCCGGCTCAAAGATCTACAACATAAGATGCGTCGAGGCAGCTTTACTAGATTCGGCGCGCAGAAAAAGAACGCTTTGTAGCGCGAGTCAAAATACGGAAACAGCTACAAAAACATTTATCAAAAGCGCTACAAAATGTTCGTTGAAATGCATCACCAACGAGCCCACATAGCAAGTCTCGTTGGCCCGCGGAGAGCTGAAGTTTGAAAACTTGCCCAGAGATGGTAGCACTGAGGTTCTCATCAGCAGAAGCTGATGACAGGCGGGCCCGGCTAAGTCTAGTTCGCAAACGACTGCCGCGTCTAGAAACAATTTTGTTGTTGAATAGCCAATACTCGTAACCAGACGTTACATCAATTAACTTTAAGGACTATGTAGGAAGCAGATGCGAAGCTATTGCCGTGCAGCATTGATTCAGTGAATGTCTCTTCTTTTAAGCAACTCACCGTGGTCGAACTCTAAAGTTGTTCTACTAAAGCACCATGTTATTTCTCTGGCGTTGGCGATCTCTCGCTAAGTTAC